CATGCTAGCAACACAAACCGATGACTTGACGCATGCCCCATGTGGCTGCTTCCATGCTGGCCTGGATTATGGAGTCCAGACTGCCACCTCTGAATGGGTTATTTTCGTCCCTCAGCTTCTTTGGAAAGAGTTCAAACTAAATGGTCACCAAATCTGCCCTACGGTCCCAGCTTGATGGCATTCACGGAGGAAGGATTATAGATCGTATTCCTCTCTTCCACTGAGCGTAACAGGCAAGAGGAGAGAGACTTTCAGACTCCTACACACACCTTTCCAAATACACTGCTTTGCGATGCTGATGGTTGTGCCAAGCTAAAGAAACCATGTTGTCATCGTAGGGACATGCACAGCTACTTAGAAAATGAGTGAGGAGCCTTGACGGAGGAAGTACAATTAACTGCTTCCTCCCTGTGGCCCTTCTCCCTTTCAGGTCCAACACCTCCCGTTTATCTCCTTTCCAAAGCAGTTCCCCTGACCACGATGCTTCTTTAGTTCCAGAACCATCAAAATGGCATCTCTTTCCTCTCTATTATTCTGATGGTATTCTTGCTAATCTACGTTCTCACTTGTTAACATTTCCTCCAGAGAGAGAGAGAGAGAGAGGCAGGCTGGACGATAGAGCCGAAGGGATACTGAGGACACTGTTGGTGGGAAATGTGTGCTGGTGAAAGGACTGGGGCTGAAACATTCTATGAGTGAAACCCAATCATGACTAACTTTGTAACTGTGTGTCTCACAGTGATTCAATAAAAAAATTAATTTCAAAAAATTTTAAAATGTAAAACAAATGAAAAATATCATGGATACTTATCTAAATGCAGCTTTTTATAATTTTTGTTTCATTCTGAACTTACGTATTCATGCTGACATAAATTTGTGCTCATCCTGTTTCTATCCCTCTCTGCATAGGTAGTTGAATCAAATAACTCTTTCAGAAGAGTACATCAAATAAAAAATTTCAATGTAATTTCTGGAAAATATTTCTTATCATAAATAGCTCAGTGTCCTTGGATGACTTAAAAAATATGGTATGAAAGAATTCAGTAACTTAAACTCTTTACAATATTAGAACCTCTTTAGCATAATTGATAATGATGCATGACACAGTAAGTCTTTTAAAAACTTCTTTGCGTACAGTCATGTTTATGCAACATATCATACTCTTTAATAAATATACAGAAGCCTTTCATTACTTCTTGTAATGCAATAATATGGTTGTTTTAAATAGAATGCCCTGCCACAGAGGCAGGGTGGGATGGGGGGGATGGGGGAGTGGGAGGGATACTGGGATCCATGGTGGTGGAAAATGGGCACTGGTGGAGGATGGGTACTTAATCATTGTATAATTGAAACCCAAGCACAAAAATTTGTAAGTCTACAACTGTACCTCTTGGTTTGTCACTAATAATAATAATAATAATAATAATAATAATAATATGGTTGTTTTTTGCTTTGTTTTGTTCGGGGGCCACACCTAGAGATTATTCCTGGTGGCTCCAGGGACAATATCGGGTGCCAGAGATGGAACCTGGGTTGGCCGCATGCCAGGCAAGCACCCTATCCTCTATACTGTCTCTCCTGCCCCTGTAATGCAATAATGTGATCTTGTCCATGATATTCTCTCACTACTTGTGCTACTAAAATTCATTTGATTCTTTTGAAGTTATGTAGACAGTACTGTGCAATTTACATAAGTTAACTTACTTAGCAATTTTATTATATAGTTAATTCCATACAAAGACAAGAATCAGATAGCATTATCTTGACATATATTAGGGAATCACGGATGTCCTAGGCTTTCAATATGTCACACTGAATTTAAGAATGTGCTTCTTATGACTGAAGAGATTGTACAGGATTAAAGTACTTAACCTTGATTTCAATTCCCAGCAGGTAGCTGAGTCTGATTTCAATTCCCAGAAGTGAATATGGTCCCCTGACCACCTCCAGTAGTGACTCCTGAGCACAGAGTCAGGAGTAGCCCCTGAACACCACCAGGCATGGGACCAAAACCAAAACATTCATTTTTTTGTTAAGTAAATGTAAAACTTAAAGATATTTTAACTCTAGTAGATTCCCTATTAGTCATATACATTTTCCCTTAAACTGCCATTTTCACTTTCTGACCAAGAATGTCCTATTAAAGATTTTCTTTTTGCAACCAGGAAATACAAAATCATAGCTAGATGAAGAACCAGTCTAACTGGACATGTAAATTTTTTTTAGTTTATATAACAGCTATTACATAATCACAGATTCACCATCAGTATTTCCTCTGAGTTATAATAAATTCCCAACTATCTTATGTAAATAAGACAAACAGACATGTATAACTAAAAATTTAAGAAGAAAGCATAATAAAATCAAACACAGGACCAGACAGACAGCACCCCAGGTAAATTGCTCTCCTAACACACAGCTGACCAGCATTCCATGCCCAGCCCCACATATGATCCACACTCCATCACCAGGGGTGATCGCTGAGCAGAGCCCTGAGAGCCACTTGTCGTGGCCCCCAAAATAAAACAAAATAAAAACAGCTTCTGAAAAATCAGATTTTCAGACCAGGCTCCGCAGCTATAACTGTGTGTCTTTTGCATTGGTTTGAAAACATGTCATTTATTTCAGAATGTGATTAATGGTTCTTTTCAGGCAGCCAACTTTTTTTTTGCCATTTAACAAGATCAAGTTTGAGTTTTGTCTTATTTCAGTGCTACCATCATTTGTAAATATGAAAGATGCAGATAATGAAATGTTGATTTTGAACTGGAGTTTTGTTTTATTGGAGTTAGTCTTTCAATCTCTGTTATGTGACAGGGAACTCATACAGATTTTTTAATCAGAAAATGTGTGATTCTATGTTCTATAGAAGTCCTGTCAGCAGGTACCTAACACAACGGATGCCTGGTACTGACATGAAGCCCCGTCTCCACAAGATGTCAAAAAAGTGTGGGGGAGGGTACAGTAGCTCAAAAGCCGTGCCAAGCTGTGGACTGATCCCAGCAAGCAGAGAGTCGGCCTCAATGTGGCCAAGAATGCTCATTTTTACAAAACTCAAACATCAAAGTTCAGACAAAAAGTCTTTGAACTAGTTTATTATGGCAATAAGTAAATAGGAGAAGGGACAAGAAAGCTATCAATGGATATTTTTTAAAAGTGTGTTAATAGGTGTCAACATGCACAAAAAAGCATTGCTTCACTTACTATCATAGAACAAGTCCCACTGACAGAATAAATGAGGCATGAACAAAAGAGGACAAGAGCATCATATGAAGTATGCCTTAAACAGGAAACAGAGTAAATAGTACTGGATTTGGTGGTGAGGATAGACACATCTAGGTAAGATGTGAAAAGATAATTACAGGCACACATTTACAAAGGAAAGACTAAGAGTGCCCAGCTAGCTCAATCAGTAGAGTATGAGACTCTTAAAAAAGAAAAGACTAAATGGAGCAATAGATAGACCAGTACAATTATATAGTAATTAACATGCCCTCTTTCTTCCTCTTTGGGGAATTTTTTTGCTGCTAGATAAAAATGAATACTGACTGCCACAGTATTTCATTTGGCAGGATATCAGGTAATTTATATTTCAAATATGATCTCATCATCAGTTCCATCTGTTGATATTAACTGAGCATCCGTTATGTTTGAAACTGACATGTAAAAAAACATACCTAAAAATCAAAATCCTGCATCTGAGAGATTCATACCAATCAGAAACTGAATCTGTGTTCTTTGAAAGTGCTATGTATTCATGTGAGTATTTGCTTTTAATCCACCCAGCTCTCTACTCCAGGGAACAAGACAGGGAGAAGTTATTTTCGTTTTCTTTAGAATGGGCTCAAATAAGTGCTTGATTTTTTTTGTTTTATTTTGGGCCACTCCTTGCTGCACTCAGGGTTTACCCTGCCTTCATACTCAGGGATCACTCCTGGCAGTATAAAGGGGACCATATGGAGTAGTAGGGATCAAACCCAGGCTAACTGCATGCAAGAGAAGTACCTTACCAACTATACTATCTCTCCATCCCACTGTTTGATCTTCTTAAGAGGACTAAAATATTTTTTATGCTAAACCACAAAGGGAAAAAAAATTACTAACTGGTCATCCTAACTTAAGGACCTGACTTAAGGACTGTTCATAGATTCATAAAATCTTCTTCCCTTTATTTTCATTCCAACTCAAAATTGAAAGCTAGTAAAAGCAAGGTTTCCAGACAGCATTGGAATGCTCTAGTCTTTCTTAACCTAGACACTCAGACATGTGACTTCTCTTCCACAGGCAGAGAAATCGTTTATCTCCTATGGTATTCTCCCTGTCCTGTCCAGGAAGACTGTTCAAATCTTTTTTGTGCCAACACACTACCTTGAATATAGCTATCACCACAGTTTTCTAAATAAAATTCCATTTTCTAAATTGGAATGTCTATCTTTTCTCTACAAGATTAAGCCTAAAGATCCAATGTCTCACCCAATTCTTAGTCAATTCACTCCCAACCCACATCATTTCCCTACCAAAAGAAAAGGTTAACTAACACCTTCTCCATTTGTATATGGAGTCCTCATTACATACTTTATTTAACATCATCTCTCCCATAGTTGGATCCCAAAACATTGTTACTACCTTGATCCAGGGGAGAATCAAAACAGTTTTTCCAAATTAATTCTGTCTAGTGAGTAAAATAACAAAATGAGTTATTTTGTTATTGACTGCAGGTGTGCTGATTTGATTTTTGGCTTATCTCATCAAAAATGTGTTTAGAGCAATGTAATATTCATCAGTAGAGCTATTTTGAGAGCTTATTCAAGGTATGGTATTGCTACTTCATTCAAGGATTATTTTGATGAATCCTGATGTCCTGAGTAAAGAAAGCAAGGACTAATAACTTGAAAATAACCACTGATATTTATTTTTAAAAATTATGGGAAATAGCTATAGAGTCAATAACTATATTTGTTACAGGAGTGAAGTAAAAATATGTTTTTCCTCTCCAATAGGATACTCAATACTTCAAGCTATTATGGAAAAAGCAGGACAAAATGGTTGGCATGTCAGCGCTATATGTGTGGAGAATTTTAATGATGTCAGCTATAGGCAACTTCTAGAAGAACTTGATCGACGACAAGAGAAGAAATTTGTGATCGATTGTGAAATAGAAAGACTTCAAAACATATTAGAACAGGTAAGTTCTAGACCTAATTATTAACCGAGATCTTCCCCCAAAATGACCATTTGTTTCTCTTTCCTCATTAATACTGTCTACCAATCATTTAGACTGAAGGTTGGAGTTTGGGAGTTTTCATTCTAGCATTTATCCCCAAAACTAACTCATAATCTTCTTTCACTCGGCATCATTTTGATTCTTAGATCTCAGTACAGTTAGAAGTAATGTCTCTAACACATTTTTTAGACATGTAGAGAAAGGCCTTTTGTGAGTCATCATGTGCTTTTGGCTATTTTTATCAACACAAATTTTGAAGACTGCGTTTTTCTAAACCTTTAGAGAAACGGCTACTTGAGAATTGGCTACATTAATTTGTTCAAAATTTACATCAAAATCAAAGATGAACATATCATTGTATCACTGTATCACTGTCATCCTGTTGTTCATGGATTTACTTGAACAGGCACCAATAATGTCTCCATTCATCTCAGCCCTGAGATTTTATAGCCTCTCCTTACTCGTCTTTCCCAACGCTGCCATATTGGAGGCTCTTTCAGGGCCAGGGGAATGAGACCTGTTATTTGTTACTATTTTTGGCATATTGAATACACCACAGGTAGTTTGCCAGGCTCTGCTGTGAAGATTAACATTAGAAAAAGTTTATTTTCTTCTAGAGTTACTATGTATATTTTTAATTGCCTTTTTATTTTCATTTTTATTTTCCCCTATTTTTATTGAGGTACATGATTAACAATACTGTTAGTGATGATTGATAGTTCCATGCACACATTGTTCTGACACCACATCCTCCACAAGAGTGCCCTCTTCCCCCCATCAGTGTGCCAAAGAACCCTCCCACCCAACTTCTACCCTACTTCAGCTCAGTTCTGTAGAAAAACTCTCTGGTTCAGATGCTTTTGGCTGCTGTTCCCTTACAATGTTCTTTATATCTCATACATGAGAGAGATTTTTTTTATTGTTGAGGTGGTGACAACTACATACATAGAGATGAGTAATTCCATTAAATTGTAAATTCCACAAAATTGTAAATCAATCAAAAAATTTCAAGAACTGTAAACATTTTAAAATAGTATGAATAATAAGAGGGAGAAGCAGTTGTGCAGTGGGGAGGATGGTTGCCTTGCACACAGCAGACCCAGCTTTTATCTCTGGCACTCCACATGGCACTCCACATGAGCCCACCAGGAGTGATTCTGAGTGCAGAGCCAAGAGTAAGCCCTGAGGGCTGGAGCAATAGCACAGTGGGTAGGGCATTTGCCTTGCACACGACCGACCCAGGTTCGATTCCCAGCATCCCATATGGTCCCCTGAGCACAGCCAGGAGTAATTCCTGAGTGCAGAGCCATGGGTAACCCCTGTGCATCGCCAGCTGTAACCCAAAGAGCAAAAAAAAAAAGAGTAAGCCCTCAGCTATGCCAGATGTGGCCTAAAAACAAAAAAGTGAATAATTCTATGCTAATATATTTTTAATTTTGCATAAAATAGGTAAGTACTGCAAATATAAGATTTAAGAAGAGTGAATAGAGGAGAATTTTTTTAAGTTAAAGGAAAACCTTTTTAAGGTTTATAAAAGTGTTTTTTTTATCTCCATTTAGTCTCCATTGTGAGACTTGTTGTTACTGTGTTTGGCATATGAAAACGGCACGGGTAGCTTGCCAGGCATTGCCATGCAGGTGAGATACCCTCGGTAGCTTGCCAGACTCTCTGAGAGGGGTGGAGGAATCGAACTCAGGTTGGCCGCATGCAAGGCAAATGCCCTACTGTGCTATCACTCCTGAATAGACATTTAAAAAAGAACATTCAAAATAATGAAACATTTATTCATTATTTAAAGAGTATAAAACCTTGGCAAGCTAGGAATAAACAAATCTTAATCTAGCAGAGGGCAGCCATGAGTGATTGCCATAATTATTAGTGAATAGCTGCGAAATTTGACTTGTCTTTTTTTTTTTTCACTTTTTGAGTCACACCTGGCCATGCACAGGGATTACTCCTGGCTCTGCACTCAGGAATTACTCCTGGCAGTGCTCAGGGGACCATATGGGATGCTGGGAATTGAACCCGTGTTGGCAGCATGCAAGGCAAACACCCTTCCCACTGTGCTATTGCTCCAGCCCCTTGACTTGTCTTTTAAAGAAACTTTTTTAATGATTCTTGAAAAATGGTTTCAAGCCTTTGAACTGCTAAGTTGTCTCTTGTCCTTGAAGTTTTGCATCATTCTTTTGACTCTGAATGATAATTTAGCTGGATCAAGTATTCTTGGTAAGATGTTTGTTTCATTCAAGTTTGTTTTTTCTTCTTTAACTACATCCCACCATTCTCTTCAGGAGTACAGATCTTCTGTAATTCCTGTGGGAGTTCCTTTGTATTAAATTCCTTCTTTGATCTTGCTGCTTTTCATATTCTCTTTTTGGCCTTTGTCATTCTGATTAACATGTATCTTGGAGTTTTTCTACTTGTGTCTGTTCTCATAGGGACCCTTGGGCCTGATATCTGGGAATGCATGCACCCTTAACTCTGGGAAATTTTTTATCTGTGATTTTGTTGACCAGTGGTGTCTTTGTCAAATTCACCTTCCTATTCTTCAGGGATGCCAGTGATTCTTATATTATTCATTTTGAATTAATTTCATAATTTTCTGGTGTGCTTTTCATTTCTTTTCACAATTTTTTCCATCTTCTGTTGTTTAGTAGAAATTTCCTGCATCTTATCTTAACAAAAAAAAAGTTCACTTATTTTTTTCCTTAGTTGTTGTTACCCTATTGCTGAGGACTTTGATGAGTTTTTCATTTCACCTACTATTTCATTTCAACTACTATATTCTTTAGTTCTGTCACTTCTGATTGCAAAAATAAATTAACAAAAATAGGAGTTCACTATTTTTTTCCTTAGTTGTTGTTACCCTGTTGCTGAGAATTTTATTGAGTTTTTTTGTTTGTTTCACCTACTATTATTTTCAGTTCCATCACTTCTGATTGCAGTTTTATCATTTCTGCCTTCATACTTTACTGTGCTTTATTGACTACCTGTTCCATAATATTTTGAGTTCATTAAACCTCTTCATCATGGTATCTAAATAGTCATTATCTAAGAGGTTACAGAGCTGGTTGGCACTGGTAGCATCACCCATGGTATTATCTTCGGTCAATGAGCTTGGTGGGCTTCTACAAGACTTCCCCTACAAGAAAAACTCCGTGGTGATCTGAGGGTGGATCTTTATATTTTGCTTCCTGACGGATTAGGGCAAGTGTTGTTTTTTGCCTTCACTGCTGCTTTCACTGGGTGACATATGTCTTGGAGTTTCAGGAGGCAGAAGTGTGCACAGGGTGAGGTGCAGTAAGTCAGACTGTTGCTGTGCCATATAAGCAGCTGTGTGGTCCAGGGTACACACAGCAACTAGTGGAGTAATGGGTGCGGGGTGTGAAGCAAGGTTGGGAAGCTAAATGAGCCAGCACAGGCTCTGCGTGTGGATGAGGGCCTGTAGGTCATAACAGAGGTCAGGTATGGACACTCAGTATGTTCTTCAGCTCTTCTTACCAAAGAAGGTTCCTTGGGTAAAGTTTGTAATAAATAATCAGACAAGAAAAGATAAAATTGAGCTTTGTCATTGTGAAAAACAACAAAATACCATCATCAAGGAATGGATAACATTTACCTTCCCTGAACCTAATCCTGCAGATCATGATAAAGATTTAAAAGGCTGCATTTGTGCCAAATTACAGTGAATGAATGCCATCTAGTGGTTTTGGAAATGTTTGCTCGTGTTTATTTGTACTTGTTAGTTTGGCTAGACAATACTGTAGCATATTTTGTTATTGTTGCTTTTGGGGGGGCTGGGGAGCCACACCCAGCACTGCTGTGGGAGATACTCTTGGCTCTGTGCTCAGAGGTGACTCCTAGCAGAACATAAGATACCAGGGATCAAACCCAGTGCAGCCTCATGAAAGATGCCTTCCCCACCTGCACTCTTTGTAGCATGTTTTGTTGATAGTTTGCTGCATATTATTTATTTGAATTATGGTAAAATTTTGTTTGTACAAAATAGGAGACCAACACCCAAGAATAGTCAAGATTAGTACGAGGAGGTTCACTCCATGGCTTGGAGGCCAGCCACACAAGCTAGGGGAAAAGGCAGCTCAGATAGAGAAGGGAGCACCAAATAAAGGTATTGGGAAGATCCTCCCAGGATGGGAGATGGATGCTGAAAGTAGACTATAGACCGAACATGATTGCCACTCAATGCAAACCACAGCCCCCAAAAGGAGAGAACAAAAGGGAATGCACTGCCACAGAGGCAGGGTGGGATGGGGGGATGGGGGGTGAGAGGAATACTGGTATCAGTGGTGGTGGAAAATGGGCACTGGTGGAGGGATGGGTACTCGATCATTGTATAATTGAAACCCAAGCACAAAAATTTGTAAGTCTACAACTGTACCTCATGGTGTTTCACTAATAAAAATTTAAAAAATAAATGTTTGTGTTAAGCTTACTAATTTGGAGGCTTATTCAAAAAATACTTAACTGTAAAAATCAAAGCTGGAATGCTTCAGATATTCCTAATATTAGAGGAGCACTAAACTAGATGTCTTTTGTTTTCTTCTTTGACTATATTAGAATTTTTAAAAAGTAAAAGTCCTGTATTATTACTTTTAAATGCCCAATAAAGCCAGAAAATACTGTACTGTAAAGAAAATAGAAATGTATTCACCACCACCACCCCTTAATCCTTTTGGAAAATGAAAAGAAAATGAAAAAAAATTTTGAAGAAATGTATTTATATGATATATTGAAAAATATTAATAGGGCTATATTTTTAGTCAGATTTATTCCTGAGGGAGACCAAAAACACCAGTAAGGTTGTAATTATTCAAGACATACAAACATTTAAAATGTGTATTTATGGAACCCAAGAAAAACTTTCCTTACTTTCAATGACAGTCAATTGAGCCCAAACTCCCTTTCTCCCTCCCATTCCTGCCCATGTGTTGAGAGTTTATTTGTTTGACCCGAACAACTGAAGCTTTGTAAATAATTCCTCCTGAATCCCACAGAGCAGTCAATTCTAAGCACTGCCTAGATTGCCAAGTTCCTGTCAGAGGGTGAGTAAGGCTAAAAAAGAGCCTCCATTTAGCACCTGTGCTTAAAAGACCTCTTCTGGAGAAGGCAATTGAGCGCCTGAGCACACTGACCCATTTCAGAGGCTTAGCTGGTTTCTAAGAAGAGAAGCAGCACACCTGGGTGCTTTGGGTAAAGCCTTTGAATAAGTCTTAAATACCTCTCTCTGAGGGAAGTGGGCATTTTTTGCCACTTTAAAAAAATATTCTTTTCCAAATGTATGGAAGTATAATTAACATGTTACATCATGTAAATTTAATGTGATAGTGCGATGAACTGATCCCCTAACACATTGTGAATAGATCACCACAATATAATTAGTTAGCACCTCAGACATTGCACATAATGGCTATTTTTCTTTTTTTGTATGTGAGAACATATAAGATGTATTTTAGCAACTTTCAAGTATGTAATGCAGTAACTGTGCTATACATCCGGTCCCCCGAGCTGAATTGTCCTCAAACTATATGTTTATACCTTTGGAAAAACAAGTGTCTACTTCTTCTATTCCTCTTGCTAAAATCTGAAGGTTTCTTTTCTATCTTGGCTGCATAAAAATAATGAAGCTATTAATAGACTTCTAGTCCTTTAATCTATTGTGAGAATATAATGTATTCTTAATTTTCCAATAAACTACTCCCCCCCACAAAAAGATGTTTTCTGAATCTGAACGTGAATTTTTCCCCTATCAATATTTCAATTCTCTGTAGCTTGGTTTTACTATTAATTCATCTTAACAGATAGCTCATTCAGACTTTATCAGAAATATGGCAATACCTCTGTGTTTCATAATAAATTAAAATAATAAAAAACTATTTCAGAAAATACCTAAACCATGTTTAAAAATATTAAGTAATTTTTATTAGAAAAATTCCGTTGGAAGGAACAGTCCTCTCTCAGAAGATAATGAAATTAATAGTGAAAATGGGGTTGTAATGATTATTTTGACATTTTAATTACTATCACAGATACATTAACAGATAACTATAGTAAGAAAAGCACTGTCTTGTCTGTACATTCTCCAAAGTATTATTTATGTTCTGAACTAATTAGTCCTCCTAAATGTTTTGCTCTTTAAAATGGCAGAGGCTAGAAAGATAACTCAGTGGACTAAAGTGTAGTATGCTTAGGAAGTAGGAAGCCAGGCTTTGATCCCCAGGAATACATGGTACTCCCAGCATCACAAAGAGTGATCTCTGAGCAGTGAGCTGTTTAGTAACCCCTGAGTATCACCAAGTGTGACCCAAGAACAAAAAAAAATGTATATAAGTAAATATAAAGAAAATGGCAGTTAGTCATATACACAAATTTCAAAACTTGATATTCTACACAAGTGTGTAAAAATATATACTAAGGCATATTGATTTTTCTACCTGAATTAGATCATAGAAAAAAATTAAGTTATATAAATATCACCTACTGAGCTACTTGAGGCAATAAAAACATAACAAATAGATAAAGTCAAATTCATTATTATTTTGCTTGTATCAACTTCCCATCAAAGCAATTGCAATTTAGGTCTCTAATTCCAATGGGAAATTTTAGTCCATTCAGCTACAGAAAAAAAAAAAACTTGGAAAAGAAATTTGTAACTGAAAGCACCTTTTAAATGTTTTGTGAATTTAATCCATTATTGATAGAATCCAAATTTTTAATTTGATACTCGCATTATTCAACTAACCTGTTTCCCTAACAACATTCATATTTTTAAGGATAACTCATAACAAGATAATAAAGATATGAAAATCAATTGTTTTCATAACAAATTATGTGCATTACAGGTGGCAACCTTTGCATATATTTTCTTTTTAAACATACCCATTAAAAAAAAAAAACTCCATCCCGCAACAATCAGGAGAAAAAAATTACGGGTCCTCCAAATCTTGCCCAATGCTCAGACGCCAAGCAGTGCTGAGAACTGTCAGAGCTGGGAGAGATTGTGGAGACCACGTGGTGCCAAGGTCCAAACGTGGGGCCTTGCTTCACTAATCCTTTTGACTCGCTCACTTGCAAAGAATTCCTAGGTTCTCAGCCCTGGTCTAGAGACTCTCAATTGAATCTCAAAATGGATTAATACCCCGCAGAGATGTCTCTGGAACCCAGCCATTTATAATCTAGAATTCCAGAAGCACACAGCCACTTTTGCAACCATACAAGCTCTCATACTCAAAATGAACAATGAAAAACAAATTATCTAGCATCTACCCCTAGGACTGGAGCGGTAGCACAGCTGGTAGGGCGTTTGCCTTGCACTTGGCCTACCTGGCCAACCCAAGTTCTATTCCTCCACCTCTCTCAGAGAGCCCAGCAAGCTACCGAGAGTATCTCGCCCACAGGGCAAAGCCTAGCAAGCTACCCCTGACGTATTCGATAAGCCAAACACAGTAACAAGAAGTCTCACAATAGAGACGTTACTGGGCCTGCTCAAGAAAATCGCTGAACAATGGGAGGACAGTGCTACAGTGCTACAGCATCTGTCCCTAGCAGGTAGGCTTGAATGGTGGTGGGGAAATTCGAGCAAAACATAATACCCCAAAGTAGAGAGAGAGTATTTGGGAAATTGTCTGCCATAGAGGCAGAGTGAGGATGGGGTTGGGGGGGGATGGGGTACTGGGGGCATTGGTGGTAGAAACTGTGCACTGGTAGAGGGATGGGTGTTCAGTCACTGTATGGCTGAATCTCAAACATGAAAGCTTTGTAACTATCTCACACTGTAGCACCACAGCACTGTCCACCCGTTGTTCATTGATTTGCTCCAACAGGCCCAGTAACGTCTCCATTGTGAGATTTGTGACTATTTTTGGCATATTGAATACTTCAGGAGTAGCTTGCTAGGCTGTGCTGAGCGGGTGAGATATTCTCAGTAGCTTGCCCGGCTCTCGGAGAGGGGCAGAGGAATTGAACCCTGAGGCCCTACCGCTGTGCTATCTCACACTGATTCAACAAAACTTAAAAAAAAAAAAAAAAAGATTCCTAGGTTCTCAGTGTAATACCTTGAACGCTGAAGTTGCTTGCTAGACTTTGATTCACACAAAAAAACAGAACGTAACAAAGTTACCCACAACTATCTTTCTGGCATCAAAAACCACAAGCAGCACCAGAGAGGGCCGAGGACCCAGTACCTACGAGCATGGCCCGGACCCTGAAACACCACGTGGCCTGGATCCAATAACGTCCGCGAGCCCCAGCGGCAGGGGGTGGAGCTGTGGCCCGCCCCGCCCCCGGCCCCGCCTCTTCCGCCAGGCTCCGGGCGGGAAAGATGGCGGCGCCAGGCCCAGAGGCAGCCGCTTTTCCTCAGAAACTGAGCCACCGGCAGCGCGGGGCGGCCCTTAAGAAGGAGCGGCGAAAGAAGCGGCGGCAGGAGCTGGCCCGCCTGCGGGACGCAGCACTGGCCCTAGAGGAGAAGGAGGAGGAGGACGGGGAAGATGGCGCGCCCAGTGAGGAACAGCTGGAGGCCGAGAGGCAGCGGCAGAACGAGGCCTGGCTGCTGCGTGAGCGGCAGGCGCAGGAGGAGTTCCAGCGCCGGCGGGAGCAGGAGGAGCAAATGGAGGCGGCACGCCGGGCGCGGGAGGAGCGCGAGAACCAGCTGCGCGTCGAGGAGGAGGAGCAGCGACGCCGCGAGCGTGAGGAGGGGGCGCGGAGGCTGCGGGCCGAGCGCGAGCAGGCCGAGGCCAAGCGGAGGCTGCTGGCCCCGGCGGCCTCGTGGCGCAACCCCGAGCCGCCCGCCGCGGGCCGCCCCGCCTGCCCCTTCTACAGCAAGACGGGCGCCTGCCGCTTCGGTGAGCGCTGCTCGCGCCGCCACGAGCCCCCGGCCTCCAGCCCCACGCTGCTCGTGCGCAGCATGTTCACCACCTTCGGCATGGAGCAGTGCCGCCGCGACGACTACGACCCCGACGCGGGCCTGGAGTACAGCGATGAGGAGACCTACCAGCAGTTCCTCGACTTCTACCACGACGTGCTGCCCGAGTTCCGCAACGTGGGCCGCGTGGTGCAGTTCAAGGTCAGCTGCAACCTGGAGCCGCATCTGCGCGGCAACGTGTACGTGCAGTACCAGTCGGAGGAGGAGTGCCAGGCCGCCCTGGCAGCCTTCAACGGGCGCTGGTACGCCGGCCGCCGGCTGCAGTGCGAGTTCTGCCCAGTGACCCGCTGGAAGATGGCCATCTGCGGCCTGTTTGAGCTGCGGCAGTGCCCCCGCGGGAAGCACTGCAACTTCCTGCACGTGTTCCGCAACCCCAACAACGAGTTCTGGGAAGCAATGCGGGATGAGCACCTGTCCCCGGAGGCCCCCAGTGCGGCCTGTGTCCGGTCCCTGGAGAGGTGGCCCCGGCCCAGCCGCCACAGCAACTACCACAGCCGGCCCTGGCAAGCTGAGCAGGAAAGGAGCCGCAGCCACCGGGAAAGGGAGGTCCAGAAGTACCCGTCCAAGAGCCAGGAGGATCCACCGCATGCTCGAAGTTACGGGAGAAAGCGGGTCCGCAGCCCTGCCCATGACAGCCACCGCCGCAGCCACAGGCAGAGCCGTAGTTTCTCTCGGTCACGGAGCCGGAGCCGGAGCCGGAGCCAGGGCAGGAGAAGGTCAAAGAGTTGAGACAGAAGTATTCACAGCCCTAAAGCCAAATGAACCAGTCTTGTTCTTTCTTTAAAGAAAACTTATAAGGACCCTGCAGCACGGTTCCTGGTTCTTCCAAAATAGTCTCCTTGGACTGGCCATAGGCATGGCTTATTCTGTCTTCAGAGGCTTTCCTCGCTCTATTGATTCAGATTCCTGGAATTATAATGTTAGCCCAGAGTGACTTTTTTCATTTTGAAAGTTGGATTTTAAAAGTTGCGTTTTGTTGTTCGTTTGGGTCTTAGGGCCACACCCTGTTGCTCAGGTCTCATCCTGGCTCTGCTCCAGGGCACTCCTGACAGTGCTTGAGAATCCAGCAGTGTGGTCAGTTTTTGAGTAAAGTGCCTTAATTCCTTGTACAATTCCTCTGGTTTATTATAGAAGCTCAATAGAATCATATTGTCATTCTTCACCTTTCTTATTTTAAATAAGGAATGTTGGTCTGAAATCTTGAAAACTCTTACTCTAAAATTTGGTACAGCCATTTCCAGAGAAGACTTATGATCATTGCATTAGCTGCTAAAACAATATGTAACTGTTCACATGGGATGCACTTGGAAAGTAACTTAAAACGAGTAAAGTGGCCTTCTCGGTGTACTTGTTCTACAAATGTTTCAGAGTGCCCATTTTGGTCAGACTTTACTGAAGGTGCTGTCATGAGCAAAACATTTTCTGTTGTGGTTATTAACTCTTACTTGATGAACTAAGGTGCTAACCAATAGTGCTCATAAATCCTGCTAATACAAGTTCTTCCTTTCATATAGTATATCAAGGTGATCATGGACCTCATATTGCCTCCTTCTGTGAGTGCTAGTTCTTACTAAACAAATTATATCAAAGGCATTAGATAGAGAACTCAAGTTATATCGCTCATAGGACATGTCACTGGTGCCTTACCAAGGATTCAGAAGCAGATTTAAACACGCGCCTTAGAGTCTGTAAGAAAGCATAACAAAAGGATAAAATAGCTCTCAGGTACCTCAGACAGCCTCTTTTAACACATAACTCAGATTTAATTGGTGCCCTTCAGCAACATTCACACCTAACTACATAAAGGAGAAATTCAGTGTCCAAGTAGACAAATATGAGTCTTAGATCACTGGCAAGCCCAATGATCTTCCCATACTCAAAGATTAAATTTTGAAAAGCCTAAGAAATAACCAACCAGGCTTATTGCATCTCCAAAGGAAGTCAGGGTGTGATAATCCTATGTCAGGATGTGATCAATTCAAAGGAAGTAAATACCCACAATCAGAAATGTGGTCATGTTTATAAAAATTGTGAGATATGAACATGGCCCCAGTTTTTAAATTATTCCAAGGCCATCTCTTTGTCTAGCACCACTTGAGTAAAAGATCCCAGGCAGGACTTTCGATGAACTGCCAAATGTGTAACAACAGTAATTAACTGATAAAGTATTGGTGACAGTTGGCACTTCAGATGTCTCTAACATAAGAAATTTTACAGTCTAGAACTCTCCCACAATCACTGTCGTGGAGTAAAGCATCAGAAAGAGCCTCGAACTTAATGAGCCTGACCCTGTGTGCTATCACTTGCTGAGTCATGGTCTAAAAAAAGTTAGTGATGGGCTCATGACTATGAGCTTTTATATTTTTTATACTAAAACAAACAAACAAAAAATGAATGAGGGGCCAAAGAGAGAAAAGAAAGTACACAAAGAGGAAAACAAGCTGAAGAGATAATGAAGAGATCAGTCACTACAAAAGATACCTAGTAATTGAAGGTAATGGCTTTGATTATTTGAATCCTCTTGGGAAAGGTTAAGCATCTTAGGGCCAGAGCTATAGTATGGTGGGTAGGGCCCTTGTCTTAAATGCATGCAACTGGCTTTGATTACAGGAACTATATACAGTTTCCCCAGCCCCTCAAAGAGTGATTTATGAGAACTGCAGGGTGTGACCCAAAACTCCCTTCCTCTTCACCTCATCCCCTCAATAAAAAAAAAAGAGATTAGTAGCAAACTTCTGACTACGAATGAGCCCACAGCAGACATCAGACAGTTCTTCAGTGGACATCAGACAGTTCTTCACTTGACTCCCCAGGTTTCCCCACACCACCACCCCCCACCCCGCCTCTATGTGCCAGATCATCCCAGGAACTGTTGTGCAAAGATGAGCAAAATATGATCCCTGCATGGGAAAGCTTATATTCAAATTGGATCATGATCATCCTGTTGTTCATCGATTGCCTCGAGCAGACCCCAGTAACGTCTCCTTCGTCCTAGCCCTGAGATTTTTAAAAAATGCCATATTCAAGCTTCTTTCAGGGTTAGGAGAATGAGACCCATCATTGTTACTGGTATTTGGCATATTGGGTATGCCATGGGGAGTTTGCCAGACTCTGCCATGTGGGCAGGTTACATTTGGTAGCCCGCCAGTTTGTCCAAAGTAAGAATGAGATTATAATAAGGTGTCAGTTTCCAGGAGCTGGGTTTTATAGTCTCTGAGTCTTGGTCATTGATGGGATTACACTGCGCCAGCGGTGTGACCCCTGCCTACTGGAAGATGGAGGATCTGGGTGGAGGATGCTCAGCCCTGATCCGAGCAGGCTTGGAGATCTCAGCCCCGGGACCCACATGCCTTTAATCCTCTGCCAGTACCTTCATGCGTGTGGAGGGTGGTCTCAGCATGGTTGTGGCTGGTTCTGGAGGTCTTTGGCTGCCGGAGTTCTGGTCAGGGCGGGGAGGGAAACTCAACCTGCCCCCCCTCCAAGGGGCCGCGGTGAGGACAGCCAGGTACAGGGGCAGGAGACTCTGAGCTGTTCTCTTCCGGGAGCTGGGTAGTATAGTCTCTGAGTCTTGGCCGTTGATGGGATTACACTGTGCTAGGGGTGTGACCCCTGCCTACTGGAAGATGGAGGATCTGGGTGGAGGATGCTCAGCCCTGATCCAAGCAGGCTTGGAGATCTCAGCCCTGGGACCCGCATGCCTTTGTTCCTCTGCCGGTACCTTCAATTCAAATTGGAAACTAGGATATAAATAAGACAATTTGATGGGTTCACAACTCAGGACCAAGTTTCCTGAAAAATTAAACTGCCAAACGTTAGGTATGCAGGAGCCACGCCCACAAATCACCTGCAGTTCAGCCATACAAGTTCATTTATTGGACATGCTTTAGAAGTCCCATAAATCTCTAAAGAGATCAGAAGCCACAATTTATCTCCAACCCATGCAAGCTTCTACAAACAGGGTACTTTAGAGTGGAGTGGGTCAGGCTGGTGCCTACCCAAATAGTCCCCAGCTCCCACATTCCATAATTCTGCCATGCCCCTGGCCACATTCTACTGTCCTAGGACGGACCTCATCGAGATGTTAACTTGCGGAAAATTTGGGAATCTGACCAGAAGCACAATGGTGATTTGGGGATGTCAATAAGCCAAGGGCGCCATCAGATTGCAGATGCAATTGTCCCACTTGTCCAGGTTGGCCAGCAGGCAGTGTTGTACCCTCTGGGCCCCAGTAGCAACAGCAGCAATGGACTGGGCAGGGAACAGAACCAGGTCCAGGACCACTACAGTACCCAACTTGGACACTCTGAGCAGACTGCAGCCACCACTCCAGCAAAACCAGCCCAGGAGGCATAAGCCCCGCATCTGCAGTCTCCAGACAGTTGAAACTGTCCCACTTGTGTGTGTGGGGGGGGGGGGGGAGACGGACATGGCAGGTTACCACCCATTTGGTTTAATCCAAGGGGCACCCACTTTCACTCACACCGAAATTTTGAGGCCCCATAGGCTGTTCAGAGTGCTGAGAGCAGCCTCTCAAAAACAATTGCCACTGCACCATCTTCCGTATTTCTATTGGCAGTAATGGTTTTAAGTTTCCTTGAGTTGTATTTTATGGGATGAAAAAAAGTGCGTGTTTTACTCTCCTGTATTAAAGTAACAGCAATGACGGTGCAACAGAAACAAACCAGGCAGTGCAAGAAATGACTCCCCTGGAGAGAGCCTCTGCACAGGCTCGTAACTGCAGCTCCAGAAAGCTCACTACTCCGCTTCCCTCCCAAACTGCTTTTGCCTTCTGAACTTTGCTCATTTGGGGTCGCAGCAAAGTGCAAATATAAGACACAAAGTTATGCTAAAATTTTTAAAAGAGGATTTTATTTCTCTGATTATGCTTTTTAATTGTATTTATATAAATGTATAAGTCCTATGATAACGCATCAGATTTCTTGTTTTCCTAGAAAATGAGCACACCTTCAAAAGACCTCAGTCACACTAGTGCAAAGGGAAAGGATAGGAGGCAGAAAGAGGTCTCTAATGTCTCTTAGCAAGTGTTACCATGGCTGTGACTGTTTCTCATATTCTTGTAAAAAATATAAAAAGAAAAGAAAAGATAGCAAAGAATTTAAGTCTTTAATATGCTTGTCGGAATACAAGGTGTTTTAGAAGAATTGTGACTTCTAGAAGTAGATTGTGCTTGACTAAATTTGTTTTAGTTGATGCTGCAAGGACACTACTATAATATCTTTTTATTATTGCTGTTGATATAACATTCAACAACTCAGCTTCTTTTAAAAACATAAAAGAAAATCTGCTGGAAAATTTTGGAGATTAAAATAAATTAGTTTTACTAGACTTAAAATAGATGGCAGCTGCCTAGAGTTGTCTACTCTGGTTTGGAAGGGAAAGGCAAGTAATAGTCTTCATTTAAATAGACAAGAGAGGGCAACTTCATAATTTGTTTTGGTAAGATTTTGCATCTAATTGAAGCTAATGGTATCTTCAAAGATGTCATGCCACTGGCCGAGCAAGTGAAAACAGAGATAGACAAATGGGACTATCTTAAACTAAGAAGCTTCTGCACCTCCAAAGAAACAGTGACCAAAATACAAAGACAGTCTACAGAATGGGAAAGTATATTCACCCAATACACATCCGACAAGGGGTTGATATCAAGGATATACAAGGTACTGGTTAAACTCCACAAGAAGAAATCACCCAACCCCATCAAAAAATGG